AAAGGGAAACCGTCACTTCTGGTTTCGGTAGAAAGTAAGTTGGGGGTCCTAAGTGTTTCATGATCATTTTTAAGATTTCACGCAGCTAGGCACAGCCCTGAGACTGCAGCAGAGACAAAACCGCTCTGGATTGCCTGGTTTCCCACGACTGCTGGATTTTCTCTCGATTTTTTTTTTTGAAACTTTAAGAGTGGCATGTTTTTCAGCGGACGCCTCCAGCAAAATGGGTGTGTCTTTATTTGAGGCTACCTTTTTAGCTTTTTCGGGGTGGTTGTGCAGGAAATTCAAAGGGAACCCAACATGTTGGGAGGTCCCCCCCAAAAGCCGCACCGAAATGTCCGTCTGAGGGGCCCCGCACCGAAATGTCCGTCTGAGGCCCCGCGTTGCTTCTCCCGGTGAAGCCACAGGTCGGCTTCCGGTCCTTTTTGTGGCTTCTGGGCGGGGGCAAGGCTCCATAAGCTGTTTGGGTCGCAATTTACCTGGGTTGCATCTTCTTGCTGCCTCCCAGTCATCCCCTTAGCTTTTTAGCCTTTTAGTGTTTAGTGGTAGTTTCCATTTAACCCACTACAAGTTAAACTTTTAGCAGGGGATCTGAGGGCAGCCCAGTCTTGTTTAGCCAGTTCAAAGACATAACAAGCGTTCTTGAAGCGGATCATTCCCATTTGGGTATGGGTGCAGATTAAGCCACCAGGGAACCGTAGATTTTGGTCGATGTTACAATGTTTCCATTTTCCAGGGCTCCATCTTGGGAACCTTTTTTTGACCCACAGCCATTGAGTTGCAGCCATGAAGAGCACCCAAGGCTTCTTGACCAGTCCAGCTCGATGAGTGCGGCTGATGGATGGGCCCAGGTTCTGGCATGGTGCTTTGATGAGGTTCTGGGTTTGCGGGTCGTCCAAAACACCCGGTCCTCTGGAGCACCTCTTTGTTGGCTGGCCAACTTGAACCAAAATGGGTCCTACGCGGGGCCCTTCTTGAGAGGCTTCTTGACTTCGCGCGGGTTTAACGTAGGCGAATCAGTAGCCTTGGTGGTTCCCAGCCATCCCATTAGGTTTTCAGGCCTGAGTGGGAGATTCCATTTATAGCCCACAAGTTAAACTTTTAGCAGGGGATCTGAGGCCATCCCAGTAGATTGGTCTGCAAAGATCCATATGGCCTGGCTGTGTCACTTTCATTGAATTAGTCCATCCAACATTCGGCGAGATGTGACCACACTTCCATTCGGGTTTGTGTCTAAATCCGGGACACCCGATAATGGGTGGTTAACCCCTCAAGAAGCGTTCCCCCAGCAAGCAAAGCGCATCTTCCAGCGCCTCCGGAGGCTTGTAGCCTCTTGAAACCTGTCCTCGTTCGGTTTCCAGCACTCACAGATCCATGCCTGAATTAGGCTGCATGAATCATTGCGCTGCTTAGATGCAAAAGGGGTTGGTTCCAGTTTCCTACCCTCCCACTTTGTGGCACCTAATGAATCGGGGTAAATCTTGGCTTCCCGCAGCCGGACGATTTTCTTATGGGTTTGAGCCCCGAAAAAAGGTGGTGGTTTCCCATTCAATTGGCCCGAAACGGGAACTCGCAAAGAAGGAGCCACGCCCCAAAATTGGTGAGCCGATCCTGCCCAGAGGTCTCGTGGTGTTGCTGCGGGGCGCGGGGCCCGGTGCAGACCGCGGGGGGAGGGGGGGGGGAAGGGGGGGAAGGGGGGGTGGGGGGGAAGGGGGGGCGGGGGGGGTGAGGTGGGGGGGTGGGGGGAGGGGGGGGAGGGGGGAGGGAGCGGTCAAAATGTTTTTTTTTCTTTTTCCCAGACCAAGGCGAACAGGGTACCCTCAACAAAGAGACACCAGGCCCATTGTTTCCTGACCTCAATGGCGGGATAGTTTGGAACCGACCGGATGTTATCTCTCGCACACGGTTTGTCTCAAAACTGGGCCCAGAATCACAACCGTTTCCTTCCCTTCAAAACCAACCTATAGAGGGCTTCCTCAAAGAACGACCTCCCCATAGAGTTGGCAAACCGTAAGCTTTTTGTTGCTAGGCAAACCTTTGTCCGTTTGTGTCTCCTTTCGTGCACGCCAGGCTGTGCCAGGGTTAGGCTAATGCCAGGGCTATTCAAAAAGAAGCACCTCAGCCGCTCAACTTGAATACGCTCAACAGGTCGCAGTCGCGCCCAAGTTTTCGTGGCTCTCGGATCGGTTCTGGTCTCGAGGCTGTAACGCCACGCTCTCGGCCTGTGAGCGGGCGGCTTGCTGGCGGGAGGCGAAAGCAGGGCCAGCACTCGGGAAAAGTCGAGTGGTTTGACCGAGGGGACAACTTGAAGCCATAGGTGTCCTTTTTAGGTTAGTTTGCTTAACAATAGATGGCACTGGTTTAGATGGTTTATTCCATTTACCAGGGATATCTATTTTTCCAAAAGGCCACTTATGCTTGAAGCCACTTTTTTTCCGCGGCCAACCGCTGCGCAATGATTTTTTAGCAGTTGGTCGGGGGGCTCGGAAGGAGTCGTGTCAGTCAGCTACGGACATGCTTATGTGCACAAGCCCTCGTAGGAGATGCTTACGCATAAGTCTTCCACGCTTGAGTTGTGGGCGGCTTTGCAGGGTGCTCACTTTTGGAGCGGCTTTGAAGGCAAAGCAGAAGACAAACTAAAGGCACCCCCTCCATTATATGGGTTCTGCAAGGACAGCCGGGTTCCTCAATTGACAATTTGTGGGGATCCAAGATACTTCTTTCCCGACCCCGAGTAAATTCCCTTTGCATTTTTTCAGAGTTGTCTCTTTTGGCGTGGTGTTTGAAAGGAAACCAACAGGAATGCCATGTCATGTTGGGGGGTCCAACCCATTTTAATACACGCCCACATTCTTGGTTGACGTTGGAAGGGGAGCACACATTTAAATCTTAGCAGTTTAGTGGTTGGATTTGGGTATGGGTCAAAATTAAACCACCAGGGGACCACAGGTTTTAGTCATTGTTTCCATTTCAACCACTAAACCAGAACAAGCAAAATGTAAAATGGGTATGAGTCAAAATCAATCAACAGGGGACCGCAGGTTTTAGTCCATGTTTCCATTTGCCAGGGTCCCGTTTTGAGTACCTTTTTTTTACCCATACCCAAATGTTTCCCAACAACAACCATGACATAGTTGTCGTGTGTTCTTTTCGCCTGGAAAGCCTCGGCAGGCGCTCCAGCTCCTGAGCGCCATGGCTGATGGAGGCGCTGGCTCTGCGTCTCGTTGCCTTTTTTGGGACACATCCCGGTGCTTGTCTCTGTGCCCACAGCCATGTCATGGTTGTTGTTGGGAAACATTTTGCATTTTTTGCTTATTCTGGTTTAGTGGTTGAAATCCAACCACTTAACTGCCAAGAGTTAAGTTTTGCTCCCCTTCCAACGTCAACCAAGATCCATTCCCTGCTTTGAGGGGACTAATATAGTGGTATACATACCAGGGTGTTTTGAAGTGGGAGCTGCTCTACATGGACAGGCAGCTAGAGGCGCGAAAAAGGATGCCTACGTACATCATGGTCCAGTCCGTGTGAGAGTGAGGGCAGTTGAACGCATGGGAGCTTTCAATCTTCGCCTGAACACTCGGAGTGTGTGTGAAAGGTGATTGTTGCGTTAAGGGGATTTGTATCTAAACTCTACAGGAACAAAAGGCCGGGCAACTGTGCACCTATCGTGGCTTGCGGCTCAGCAGGATGTTCAGCTAACTTAGCTTACCGACTTTTGATTGACGCCATGCCAAGCGCACCGCACACAGCACAACCATTGATGTCAGGATAGCGGCATAGCCGCCATTGGCCCGTCCGACAGCACCCTCTCAGCGTGACAGCGTGCCAAAAGCGCCCCGCGGTCCAGGCATGACCATGTCGACCTTGATCCAGAAATTGCTCGGATGAAGTTTATGTTTGCGCCCCGTCAACTGCTCGCAGTCACCCATAGCTCCAGCTCATGGTTCTGATTCATCTCAAAGTTGCTTTTGCCATGGGCGTTGCGGTGTTGCCTGAGCTGTGGGCCTTGCCCTGACCTGAAGCCATGACGTTTCACAACACTCTGCCACCCGCCACTGTGTGGTCCGCCTGAAGCTGCTTTTGCTGGGGCGGCAGCATCACTCGAGACGTCTTGTAGCCACACTCCTGCGCAACAAGTCTTGCGCTCACTGCCCCGTGCTCCAGCTGGATTCGTTCTAAGCAGATGATCCACAGGGTTTCTGGAGGGCTGGGCGCCGCTTCGGTTGAGCTGTCAGCATTGCTTACGGGGCACGCCGCTTCGGATGAAACTCGACGACGGAAAACGATCTGCTCAGCCGCCGGCACCTTTGCTGCGCCAGGCTTTCCAATGACGCGGCAAAAGAAGAATTTCCGAGTGCTGTGGGTTCCAAGAGGCAACGTGCCACATTGCCATACACATTCTGAGCAGTAGACGGCGATTTCCCTTGCGTGCTCCTAAGCCTAAGCCTCAGGCCACGCCGTTCCCTGTGACCACACGCTTTGGGGGCGAGATTTCTTGGAGCTAAGCTTCCGGCCCTCCCAGTGCTCCAGGCGGTTCCTCGGCACAGTGTGCAGTCGGCCCCATGAGGACTTGGATTTTCCAAGAAGTTGCAATGAGCTTGCACCTAGGTACTAGCTCATAGGAAATGCCGCCTTGGGAGAGGCACAATGGTAAGTATACAGATGTGTGCCCACTCTACGATTGCTTGGTGTCAGCTTGGTTGAACTTTTCAGATGTCACTCTATTGCTTGGAAGTTTCTCAGTTTTTCTCACAGCCCCCAAAAAAACGGGGCTGGTTGCATAAGACGCCTTCACCTCGAGGCTTGAGACTTTTTTTTGCCCGAGGCGCCCAGTGGCCCTTGCCGGACGCGCGGGAGCTCGCTGATCCGATCCGAGAGATGCGCTTTGGGGGGGGGGGGGCCTGAAGCATTTGAATGGGCCCGAGCCATTTTTTTTAAAAACAAAAACGCCCATGATGGGACAAGAATGATTGGGATCATGCCCTGGAGAAAAACTGCTTTCACTGCTTTGGGGTTCGATCTGGATCGAGGGGACCGGTGAAATCACGGGCCTGGGGCAATCTGCTGTGTGATCCGAGCCAGCAAACTCGAAGCGGAGGTGGTGGCTGGTAGTTTTCATCTTACTTCTTGGTGCCAGCCCCAGACACCCCCTATCAAACATGCACAAGCACAGAGAGGTGAATGGACGGGATAAATTGGGATCAGAAGCAAGTTTCATGAGTTGCACGTTGGAACTTTTGCAGGCCGGGGCCTAACACAGGTCCCGGTGGGAAGTCGCTAATACCGGCGACAAGCCAAGCAGCCCAACCGCCAAGAAAAGCTCTCCAATCGATATCCAGCAGGGGAGTGTCGATCGTACAACTCCGAGAGTTGACAGCGAGAGAGCTCTTGTTGATTGAGCTGCTCTCAACAGGCGAGCCCTGAAGCATCCGCAAAAGTAGAGAGAGATGTCAAAGTACATGTTGCACTAATTGTCAGTTGTGCTTGTTGTACACTACCGCAGGCCTTGAGTCTTTCACTACATGCGAGCCCATGGCAAAACAGGTGTGAAGCAGACTGCAGCTTTGACTGTTTGTGATAGCATCACTACAGCACTTGCACTTGGAGTACTTGGCAGTTTATTTTAACGTGGTAGCGGAGCTGAGATCCTACACACAAAAAACTCCAGTACACAGCAACACCAACTGCAACGACATGTCAGGAGAACCAGCTTGCAAGCGGCTGGTCCTCTCGCACGCATTTCGAGCGAGGTGGTGAGCTTCAATGCCAGCATCTCGGCCTGTGAAAAGGCGGGGCGCACGTTTTCCAGCAGCGCCTCCTTTGAGTTTTTCTCGGGTCTTGGCAGCCATACGTTGGGGGGGGTCCATACGTTGGGCTTGCGCATTTCAAGTTCAAGCGGCAGCGCTGCTGTTTTTCTTTTTCTCAACTCGGAACCACTCGCCAACCCTTTTCCACGGCCTGCCAAAGAAGCTCACCAGTGGAAGTTGTTGCTGCAACTGCTCTCGTGCCTCTTGCTCAGCTTCAGCAGTTGCGGGGGAACAATGTCCTGGCAAGAGTCACATATCTAGGGACCTTGTGACTGATGTTGGATGACTTGTTACACGATTTGAAGCATGGTGCGTCTTTGAATTTTCATTTAGACAATGTTGATACGAAGCAGCGTCCTAAGCCTTGACGAGGGCGAAGGATCGACTTGCTTTCGTGTTTGTCGTCCATGGGAATAGCCATCCTGGTCGCTCTCCTTGGGTGCATGATGTTGTTCTGCTTTTGGGTCCCAAAGCACTTTCACTGAGTTTTATTTTGAGGCGAAGGGAAGAGCGTACCAATCTTGTTCTGAAGCGTGTCAAAGTTGGAGTGGCCGCAGGCATTAAGCTGGGACTGGGCGCTGGGCCTCAGAACTGCGCAGTTTTCCGGGTCGTGGCTTTGCGATTTTTGCACAGTATTATCTTATGATGACATGACTTAAGAGTACGCCACAACCTCGCTGTGATAAGACCCCTCCTAAGTTTCGGCCCTGGAGGTTAAGCGTCGAGCTGGAAGCGTTGTGCTTGCTCCTCCATTCATGGGATGTGAAACCTAGGGGTGGCCCCCGGAAACATGAGCCGCAACCAAGAATTCGGGTAGATGAAGGTTAAGGGACAATCCCAACCACAAATAGCTGCGGCCGCCTTTTTAATTCTTTACATGGTTCTGGGCAGACCATTTTAATACCGGGTTTTGATGATGACTCACATAGCGTCGCTTTGGTTTCCCGGGGGAAAAAAAACGGGCGCAAACAACCCTCCCGAGACTGAGGCACTTGCCACGCTGCGGAGGGTGCGGGGGCTCGTCTCGCCCGCTCGTGCATGCAAGGTGTGTGTGTGTGTGTGTGGGTTTGCGTGCGCGTGCGTGTGTGCGTGTGCGTGTGCGTGTGCGTGTGCGTGTGCGTGTGCGTGTGCGTGTGCGTGTGCGTGTGCGTGTGCGTGTGCGTGTGCGTGTGCGTGTGCGTGTGCGTGTGCGTGTGCGTGTGCGTGTGCGTGTGCGTGTGCGTGTGCGTGTGCGTGTGCGTGTGCGTGTGCGTGTGCGTGTGCGTGTGCGTGTGCGTGCGTGTGCGTGTGTGCGTGTGCGTGTGCGTGTGCGTGTGCGTGTGCGTGTGCGTGTGCGTGTGCGTGTGCGTGTGCGTGTGCGTGTGTGTGTGTGTGTGTGTGTGTGTGTGCGTGTGGGTGCGTGTGGTGTGTGTGGGTGCGTGTGGTGTGTGTGTGTGTGTGTGGTGTGTGTGTGTGTGTGTGTGTGTGTGTGTGTGTGTGTGTGTGTGTGTGTGTGTGTGTGTGTGTGTGTGTGTGTGTGTGTGTGTGTGTGGGGGTGGGTGCGTGGGTGCGTGGGTGCGTGGGTGCGTGGGTGCGTGGGTGCGTGGGTTCGTGGGTGCGTGCGTGCGTGCGTGCGGGCGGGCGGGCGGGCGGGCGGGCGGGCGGGCGTGGGTGTGTGTGTGTGTGTGTGTGTGTGTGTGTGTGAAAGATCTCGAGCCCCAGAAACGTCCTTTGGGGGCTTCCTTCCGATTCGTATTTCAAGAATTACGGAACACACAATTTGCCCAGATAAGCCCAGTAAGTGAAGAACACCCTTGGTAGAAGCCCCGCTTGCATAAAGCCCCGCAGGTTCCTTTTTCATCCGCCGCGCTAGCCGCTCGCTCACCGGAAACGCTCTTCGCCGATTTTTTCGGGCAAGGCCGGGCAAAAGAAGAAGGCCGACGCCATTGGCCTGAACAGCGCCGCGCGAGCGCTCACGCGTGCCAGCTGTTGGCCCTACGCGCTGGGCCTTCTGAGCTGCTCGCTGCGCACTGCGGGCGAGGGGCGGTGGATGGGGTTGATTCCATGGTGTCTACGACTTGGATGCTCGAAATAGGGGCGAGGGAAGGGGGCCCCCGTTATTTTTTTGAGTTGTCCCTCCTTCCGACATTAACAGTAGCCCAGATTTTTGGAAGGTTGAGCGGAATTTGGTTTGAGCCACCTTGAACCAGCCCTTGGTCGCATTCCTTTACACCAGGGTGTTTCGACAATAGAGGTTTAAACTTTAGAGCCTCCGGCTCCGCCGACATTGCACCCCTGCGTGCCCGTTTAAGTTCCCCTGCGCTAAGCTGAGCAGGGTTTCCCTTTATTGTCGCGTTACTACCGTATTACGTCGTATTACTACCCCTTCAAATCCCATGCGTTTCCCCTTGATTTCCCCTTGATTTCCCCTTGATTTCCTTTTTATGTCCCGTCATTTCCCGTCATTTCCTGTCATTTCTTGTCATTTCTGAAGTCATGGTCCTTCATTTCCTTTCAATTTCCCTTCATTTCCCTGTTGGTTTCCCCTTCATTTCCCTGTTGTTTTCTCTTCATTTCCGATGCATGACCCCTTCATTTCCGGACATTTCCCTCCTACATCTCCCTTCATTTCCCTTCATTTGCCATTCACCGTCTTTCATTCCCTTCGTTTCCCCTGTATTCTCCCTTCATGTCTTGGTCCTTTCCTTTGTTTCCTTTTCTGCTCCCCTTCGTTTCCATTGCATTCCGCACACGTCCCCTGCATATTGAAATCGCTACGCGATCCGCCGACGCCAGTGGACAGTCCCCTATTAATAAACTGGGGCTGATGTCACGTGGGGCTCTTAACGCCGCTCTGACGTCGGCTGCAGGGTGCCTTGAATTTTGGGCGGGGAAAAAGACTCTTTTTTTTGCCTAGGTCAAGTGGGGCTGTTAGCGCGTGAAAGGAGAACGCAAACAACGCCCCTGGGACGTCGGCTGCAGGGTGCCTCCAATTTGGGGCCGGGAACAAGACGTCCCCGGAAGACCATTTTTTGGTGGAACCTCATCAGATTGCCGCGCAGTACGTGTTTCCCCCTCCCCCAAACCCTACGTATCAGACATGTCCCGGAACAATTAGGGGGGGTTAACCTCTATCCTCTCTTAGGCGTCCAACACGCCTCAACAAGGGGTGGCCCAATCCCAGTATGTGGAACTTGTCGGAGCGCAAATGATGTCCCTTGTTACAAGGTTGATTCCTTTGTCAGGCAAACCTATGCTTAACGGTCTGCGAGAACATTGGTGTCCCGACCCACCACGTGCCATACTTTGCAGACGGTATCATTCCCAGGTGACACGTGAACAGTGCCCACCACCTCGGGTGAACTCGGTTCAGTTGAGGGCCCTTTGGCTTGGCTTTTTTGAGCTCCACCGCCTTTCGGTACCAGGATTGCACAGGTTTGTGGCCTGGACCTGCATCAAAACGGCTCGGTTCTTTGGGCTGACACCCAAAACATATTGCCGCGCGCCAGCAGCAAGGCGGATGTTTTGGGGACCCGGTCGATGTGTGTGTCTTTCTCCGGGATCTCGCAAAGGCTCCGCTCGGCAACGGCGGGCCCCGCTGAACGTTCGGGGCCTTGGTTTTCTTCGGGTGGTGGGGCTTTTGGGCTGGCAGGTTGAGGAATCCAGGGTCCACATTGCATTTCCCTTTTGGCGTTTTGTTTAATTAAACATCATGTTTCATGTTGTTGTCAATGTGATGTTGAAAGGGGAAATGGGGAGGCCATTTTGGCAGACATGTGTGTGTGTGTGTGTGCGTACATCAAATAAACAATTAATATAACATAACATGATATGATATGATAGAATATAATAACATATAATATATATATATATACATATATGTATATATATATATAGATACAGATATCAAAAGCTCTCGAAAAAAAAAAAAAAAACCCGGTCCGTTTGGATTGAGATTGAAGAACCACCACAGATAGTCGCCCTTACGTTTTGCTTGCCGACAGCCAGTCAAGGAGAGAATGCTTTGCCTCAAACCGCTAGGCTAGCTCCCGGCTTTTCTCTGGAGGGTCGGCTCGTCTGAAGTTCCGATTGGTGACCCAACGCACCTGGCCGGATTTCATGTCTGTCCCTTCTTCGGCAACCTGGGAACCAGGCCAGTGCAAGTACGTGACGCTTAAGACCAACATGGGGGTCCGCCATTCGGGAGCCCGATC